AAGCCCGAATCACACTAGCGGTTCTCGGGGCGGTTGGCGGGTGCGGGTGCGGGTGCGGTTGTCGTCTCGACCAATGAGAGCGCAGCGCCCGGCGGGTGCGGGTGCGGTTGAAGGAATAGCCGGCAGTCTATTTTTTTACCCGCCAACCGCAACCGCAGCCAATGAGAAGGGCAGAATTCGTCAACTGACCTGCATATACAGATTCTGTCACCAAAACTCGGGTACACGAAAGTTCTTAAATACGGAACAAGGAAAAGGGCTCCTTTCGAATAAACTGAACGAATTCTTAAACTAAGCAACGCTACAGTGAAAGAAATTGGCCTAGGAATATATCTAATGTGTAACATTTGTACACCGCGAACTCAAATCTCAATATCATTTAATTATTATAGTCAGTATTTTTTTTAATGTGAGAAAGCAAAATTGTCTTGGGTGCATCACTTTTAGGTTTCCGGAATGAAACCGCACTGTGTTTGTGTATGAATATGAACACAAAGTCATTTTTGCGTATTTGAAGGGTGGCAAAGGAGGTTATGTTGCCCAGCGGACACGGCCGCCACGGCCGAGACGCGTGGTGACGCATACATTCCAAGCGCCAGCCGCCCGGACAACCGCCCCGTGTGTGATTGTCACACCCGCCACCCGCAACCGCGCCCGCGCCCGCCAACCGCTCCGGGAACCGCTAGTGTGATTCGGCCTTTAGGCTGGTCTCACTACACTCTCGACTGCTTGGCGCGCCGGCGCCGGCCGGCGCCGGCACTGTAGGCCGGCCGCTGTCTCTCTCGCACTCCCTACGAGGTGGCGCTACCTCTCGGCTGCCGGGTGAGGCGCGTCCGAAGGTGGGTGTTGGGTTGCCTACCTATCAGGCGTATTCTTGTTATAAGTTGCCGTCCGCAACATCAACTTAGCACACTGAAAAAATTGCTTCAAAGAGAGGTAAGTCGACTTAACTCATTTTGTTTTTATTTTCTAATGACTTTTGGGGTAAGTGGACTTATCTCTTTTTGTTTCGTGACAAGTACCCCCAAAAGGAGACAAGTCGACTCACCCCCTTTTACCAACCTCTATATCCCAAAGAGGAATTTTGGTGGAAGGAACGTGGATTCCACGTAGATTTGTGACGTGGATTCAACGTCGAGTATCCACGTGATTTCCACGTGGATTTGACTCCTTTATCCACGATATTTCGACGTGGAAATCACGTCATTTGAAAAACTTTTTTTTCCAACCTTGAGTGGAGTTGAACCTGGAACCTTTGAGTTAGTAGTCTTGTACCCTATCCATTACCCTACGGCGACGCTGCTGGAAGAGGAACGCCATCTCCCATCCTATGGTATCCTATCCCCAAACATTATGGTGAGTAGAAGCGGACTATAATGTACTATAATATTCCATGAAAATCTCAGTTTGGGGTTTAATTCACATATCCCCTTCTTCCGCTTCACCATATTTATTATGAGTCTGCAACATATTTTGTGATTTGGAACCTCCGAACGAAAGACTTTCGGCACATGCGGCACCTGCTTCTTTCTGCAACGGCGGTCCGATTCACATTGATGTTGGAAAGACCCGTGAGAGCATCTGGAAAGCGGCTGCCAAAAAAGTGCTCAGCCAGAAGCGCAAATTCATAGCGCCTTCCTGAAGCGCTTCATTTACGCTCTATGGGCGCTTGGTTTCTACTGAGGATGGTGACTTCCGTTTTCTTGTTTCTCGCATTCTTCTGCATTTCGGCTTTAGCGGAATGGTTTATAACGGGTAGAACTTGAAGGTTCCTGATTGGCCGAGCGCTTACCCCCACTACCGGCGTGACGGCCAATCGGTAACGTTTATGTTCTACCCGCTATTCTTCTTCCTCCGTTAGTCGAAATACACTATATATACACTTTTAGAAAATTCAGGTTGAAATTTCAGTTTTTGGCACTGTAATTCCTATCACTTTTTGGTTTTGAAATTTCATTACATGAAATGGTAATGAAATTTCAGTACAATAAGTTTTGGAATTTAAGAATTGCTTAATGAAAAATCAAAAGCTAGTCATGAAATCTAAGTACGATATTGTTTGCATAATTCAGGACCTGCACTGAAATTTCATAATCTGTGTAATGACATTCCCAGTGAAATTTAACCTTGCACATTGTATCCTTCGTTAGTATCCTTGCTATTGTGCTTCCCGGAGCACTTCATCCAATGCCAAAACGGTGTAAGTTTTTAAAAATTTACTGTGCCTCCCACCCGTGCAGATGCAGATGGCACACAAATAAGGGGAGCTCACTGTAAGAAATCCTGTGGTAAATCATGGCTAAGACGACAGAACTGGAACCACACCTAAAACACAGTGCGGACTGTGTTGGGCGACACCACAGGGTTTTTCTGTGTAATAAATTGACCGGCTCAGTCTGTGACTCGTCTTTGGTTCGAGGCGTCTCTGTTCGTTCTTAGCTCTCGCTGATGACCCGCCGCGCTCCAGCAACCATATGCTGCAGAATTTCGCCATCCTGTATCTTCGGGCGCTTGCGCGGAGATGTAAGATTTTTGAGGGGAGGCCAGGAGTTGGGTCCTCCGCAGGGCCAACCGTGCTCAAAGGCCTTCCGGCTCACGAGCCTTCAGGCTCAAGGGCTCAATAAGGTCCTCCATGGCCCTGAGAACAGAAGACCTATGTCTCCAGCGAAACATTGCGCATCCCACTTGAACCGTGACAGCGCCATTACTGCCTTTTTATTACCAATTTTTCATCACACTATTTTACTGTGATTAGTTGGGCAGAGGATTCCTGTGATTGTGAAAGCACAGAACTTTCGTGTGGTAGTTCTGTGGTTTATCACAGGATTGAGCACTGACATACTGTGGTAGCTCCGTGCTTCTCACATGATTGAGCTCAGACATGCTGTGTAATTAATTGACGCACTTTTTTCTGTGAAAATCCTGTGCTTTTTTCTGACAGTGCTGGGCGCCGGAGGGTGGATGTGCTCGCGTTATAAGTGCTCAGTGAGAGCTAATTTAAAACTCATGCGAAATGTTGGCGTGCAGGTACATCAGGGGGACGCTGCTCTATCAGACCATCAATAGTTCGGATAGGAAATTTAAGAAATTTAATAGATATTTGACACGTAAAAGGAAAGTATCACTGTGAAAAAAATATTCGTCAACTTACGACAAATTTCATAATACTAAATTACAACATCTATTCGTAAAGTTACGGTTTCTAAATTGTAACTTTACGAGTAGGGGAGAGTGGGGCAGATTGAGGAACGGGGCAGTTTGAGGAACTGCCTACAAATTTTGATTGCGGGCACTGACACCGCCGCAGGTTGAGTACTAAATTGTCCTAATGTACTTTCATTCAAAAACGTTCATACGTAAAAGCTGCGAGTAAACTGGTGCGTTTTTTATACTACGAATGTCAAAATGGACAAGTTGGCAGCCAAAACGGGAGTTTTTTCACCTTATGTATTATGTAATTTCGATATTACGGAGCGCCCCTGATGCGATGGGGCCTTTTGTGTAAGAGAAGACATGCTTCCTGCTTATTTTGCCGTGCCGGACGGTATGAT